CCGAGATTTCGCGAGGGGAAGAGGCGCAAGGGGGGTGCGTGGTGCCAAGACTACTTGCAAGAGGGCTGGGACGGACGGCGCTCTAGGGCTAGGGAAGGGTGCTCTGCGACATGGCAGTGCGACGTACGACGACGGCGCGCCTCTTCCCACACCCCATCCACCGTCTCCACCGCGCCGCCGGAGGCTCCGAAGACGAGGACGTCCGCCAGCGCCTGTGGAGGGGGGTGAGAGATCTGGAGTCACGGTTGCCTACTGCTACTGCTAGACGAGCACGCCGGCTGCCAGCGCCTGCGCCGCCTCGTCGGCGAGCTCGCCGTTGCGCCGAAGGGAGAGGTTGCTCAGCCACGGGCAAGAGACGCCGAGCGCCGTGAAGAGGACGGCGGCGCCCTCATCGCCTGTTGGACGTGTCGTGGACGTGTCGTGAGCATGTGTCGCACGGAGGTCGCGCCCCCCTCCCACATGGCGGCGTCGCCGATGTTTGCCCGGGAGAGGTCCAGCACGATGAGAGAGGGCAGCCGTTTGACAGCGGTCGCCAGTGCAAAGACGCCGTCGCCGACTTGGTTGTCGCCGAGCAGGAGAGTCAGGAGTGCGTGTTGCGTTCCCGAGCCGATCGCCTTGGCTATGGCCTCCACGCCCGCCTCCGCCATGCCCGTGTAGAACAGGTTGAGAGCCTCGAGCCTCAATGACGGGTTGCCTTTGATTGCTTGCGACAGCGCCACGGCGCCGTCGTCCCGCAGCGCGAATTTGGGAAGGATGACTGCGTTGCAGCCTATCAGGCAGTGCGGACGGCAGCGCTTGTGTGGGAGCGAGCACGGTATACCGTAGCAACGGCGGCGGTCGAGCACCGTCGAGCCGGAAAACATAATCTTTCGGCGCTGAAAATGGGTCCTCAAGCATGTCGTAGGTGCCGCACTGCTCCGCGGGCAGGCTGTCATGCATGTCTTCGGGCAGGTTGTCCTTGAGTATGCCGTCAAGCTGTGATCCGATCGCCGCGTAGACGAGAGGCCACATGGCCGCGTGAAGTGCAATCAAGCGGTGCCTCCAAGGTAGAGGGATTCGAGGTTTTAGGGGGTAGGGTATGGTGTCCCGGCACGGGGGCCGCGACCATACCGCCCACCCGCACAGGGCACCATACCCCCCCACCCCCCACCCCACCACACGAGCGCGTACAGTACCGTCGTGTTAGGCCGTCCGGTCGTGCGGCACGGGTTCGCGCGATGCAGTCTGCGCGAGGTGACCCGCCGGCAATCGTGCTCACCCCTCAGAGCGTGGCCGCAAATTTGCGTTAGATGCTTAGAGGTACAAGTGTTCGAAGAGAGAGTGGACCTGAGCAACGATATGACTTGGCGGCAAATGATCGCAGTGCCAGTGGGCGTCAGAAGAGTCGTCCTTGCGCGAGGAGAGCTCGATAAACTCGAGAAGAATGTTGGTTTCCTAAAATCTCTCTCTATAAACTCGAGGGGCCAAAATATGCCGCGAGGAGGGCAGAGTTGCGCCGAAAGGCGGGAGAAGCCGCGAGAGCAAGGGATCGGCAGGCGGCGGCGGCGTCGCAGGATGAGGCAGACGAGAGCGACGCGACAGGGGAGGAAGCGACTGACAGGAGGGAGAACGACGAGAGTGGGACGACCGCGAGGTGGCATGAAGGTTGCAGCGAGAATCGGCGAGGGACTGCGAAGGGAGATAGAAAGAGGCAGACGACCAAGGAATAGGTTGTGGGCGACGGCTAGCACCACACTCCTCTCCTTAAAATCCCTGTGTGGTGGCGGCGTGCCGTCCTCCCATCCCTCCCTTTGTCTGTTTTCTTTCTTTGTTAGATGCTTAGATCTATGTGTGCGTTGTTCATGACATCGAAGGCTAGCTCCACAAATAACATCCGCGTGGATGGGTCCCACTCAGTAACCAACTCTCAGGGGCAGTAGGTGGGCGATCTTCAGGCGCGCTCATCTCGATTGACAAGGCGTTGCTACGCGCGGTCTGCCGCGGGGGGAGCTGTGTGTCACACACACTCACACGGGGGAGCTTCGTCGACGGGCGCGGGACCGCGGCGCAGCCAGTGCCGCGGCGATGCATCCGGCTGGCTGGCTGCTCGCTGCGATGGCGAAAAAATCGTCTTGTCACACACCAAGTGAAGAGCTTATGCTCTGGCGAGACGTCGAGGCGCTTGCGCGGGGGGGGGGGGGGGGGCGCATGCGTAACGACGCTGCTAGAGATGCCTTTCGGGGCCCAGAGATAAAACTTCTGATGCCATGCGTGACCTCTAGTTAGATGGAAGTGACGACGAGAGCGCCGACATGCCCTGCCCAGGGTGAGGCTTCGGATGGGTTCGATACATGAGGGAGGGCCGATCTCGTTAGCTTGGAGGGACAGTACTTGTACTTGTCAGGTCTTGTGAGGTTTGCGGTGATCGCGAGCTGTACGTTTGTTTTGGTGTGTCGGATACGGTAGATGTTCTCCTGCTTGCCGCCTGCGAGTCGGCGTGTGCGGCTCTGTGCAGTACGTCCCGCGCGCGAGCGAAAGACCCTGAGAGGGTACGAGGTGTGACAGCGCCCTCTTTTTTTGTGCCTTCGCACACAAGGCTCGCGGATCGGTCAAGGTGACGCGCCGCCTCCGCAGCCTCCGCGCACGCTCCAACGGCTCCGACACACCTTGCAGTACAATCATTATTGTGGTTGCGGATACAGAGAACGGACGACGACATGTATTTTTGTATGCAACATGGGAGGCCGGGGCGCGAACACAACATGGGAGGATTAACTATATTGCATATTGTCGCACCAATCGTGAAGCCCGTGAGCGGAGGGAGAGGGCGTGCGGCAGCCTGGCGACGTGAGCTCTAGCTAGGAAAGGAAGGCTCGACCTCCACAACGTCGAAGGTCACCTCGTTCCGCACTAGCCGGTGCGTGGTGCCGGTGGGGTGCATGTACGTGAGCGGCGGGTACAGGAACTCCTTCTCGTGCGGGAAGGCGGAGAAGTCCGAGATGTCGACGCCCGTATTCATGAACGTCGAGCTCTTGATGCAGAACAACAACGCGGTCTTGCCGGCGGCGGACGCGTAGCGCGCCGCAACCTCGAGCCGCGAAGTCGTCGAACAGCAGGCAAACTCGGTGCCGCCCATGGCGAGGAAGCGAGGCGAGGCGCGCATGTCTCCCATGCCCCGCCACAGGACAAGGCCCTGCTCCTGCGGCCTCGCCTGTGCACACGTAAAGATGTGAAGAGGCGCCGTTCACAAGACCGCAGGACGCACACCGTCGACCGGTTCCGCAGAGCGGGCAAACACGCGGCCGGCCGCCTGCAGCGCAATCGACCGCCACCCACCACCAGCGCCACCGCTCGGCGTCGCGGACTCCAGGTCAGCCGACTCCTCCACAAGACGGTCCTCCCGCGCCCGCTGCAGCGTGCCGAGATCGAGGTCTCCGTAGCCGCTCTGAGAGCTGAGACGCTCCACCAGCTCCTCCAGCTCCTTGCCACCGAGATCGACCGCCGTCGCTGCTGCGAGGGCGCGCATCCGCTTGAGCGCCTCGTAGATGAACGCCATCGTCGCCTATTCCGCCGTCAAAGGTGTGATGCGAGGACACGAGCCGACTCAGAGCCAGCCACTGTTGGTCAGCGAGCGGGTCACCGGCTGCGGGTGCGGCGCCGCCAGCTGGGGAGGCTCGAGGGGGAGAGGGCGTCCGTCCTGTCCTTTGCGGTAGTTGCTCATTTTGAGCTGGCGCATCGGTCCGTTGAGCGCGCGGAAGGCGGCGGTCGAGTAGAGACGCAACGCGACCACGTGCGCCTCCTCCAGCCTCGCTCTGCGCGCCACCGGCAGCGCCACAAAGTCGGCGAGCCGCATGCCCTCGCGATGTTCGAGCGGTGAACCATCCGGGGCGCGGTCGCGTAGCCATCCGTGCTGGAAAGCGAGGTCGCTCGACCCGGCCGGCGCGTTGAGGATGTGATAAGATAAGAGCTCAAAACATCTAGCGAGCGGCCCGAGACGTAGCCCGCCTCGGGTTGTCCGGTAATGAGCTCCTTGGCGGAGCCGGCGAAGCGGTCGGCAATTCGCTCTGTGGCGAGCGTCAGGAGGCCGTCGACGTTGCGGTTCGCCGCGCCGCACCACCCGGACGACGCAAGGCGGCGGCCACCAGGGATGGCCTTTGGCCCTGCAGACTTGAGCAGTAGCAAGAGGGAGAGGCCAGCGACGAGCAGGCTGACGCACCCCTGCGCAAGCAGCGTCCATGCGATGAACGGTATGTTTCGCGGCGTAAGCATGTGGGCGAGGACGCTGCAGACTTTGCCACGGTACTCGTACAAGAAGTAGCCGTCGGTGGAGTCGACTGTGTCATCTGGGGAACTGTGCAGGAGCTGGCGGCATGTGCTGACGAAGACCCTATCTGGGCTATCTGAATTTTCCCCTTTCCTCCACAGGTATTCGTACTCGCCTGTACCAATCAGGCTCCAGCTCGCGATGAGCCATGCGCCGTAGATCAAGCCGCTCACACTCGTGACAGATAGCCAGTACCGCCGCGAGGCTCTCGAGGTGATCCAGACCTCGCAGCTCTTCTTGCGAGCAAGCGGCAGCACGGCGGCAAGGGCAGCAAAGGCAGTGAGCCAAGGGACGAGAGCGAGGGCCAGAAGCAGAAGCGTGAAAGCGAGCCATCTTGCCTGGCGAACGGCCTGGCGAACCTCCGGCTCGTCAAATCGGCTCTGCTTTTGCTCCACCTCAATCTCGCTCAAGGCGCCCTCCAACTCTAGCAGCAGCGTTGCCCGTCTAAAAGCCCTCCTCCTCGCCACGGCACCGGCGGGCAATAGGAGTGCAGGCACCCAGGCCGGCAGCAGCCAGAGAAGCATCCAGATGACGTCGATGCTGCTCCACGGAGGTGAATCCACGCTCCACTCGGGATCCAGCACTCGCAGCGCCGCCATGCTCGTCTCGTCGCTGACTGCATTGAATACAGAGATGTCGAGGTACCCCCCGGCTAGTCCTTCTGACGGGTAGCAAATGGCTCGCGCAAAATTTCCACACTGGATCTGATCCGCAGCAGCCACGTTTGAGCACACCACGGACACAAAGTTGCCACAGAAGCGACTGAGCCAAGACTGAGAGCCTTTTGCAAGATCGACAAAGTCGAGGACCGTGACAGAATATACTGCGGTCCGTCCCGCTCCACCTTCGCTGCCGACAAGACTACTGCTGCCGCTCGTTCCGACTACAACTTGAGATGTAGCCTTAGACGTCTTTGGGAGAATTCGTAGCAAGGCGCCGGATTCGCATGTGTCGGTCAATGAGTCGGGCTTTGAGCAGATCTTTTTGCTCTGATTAATGCTATCAAAGTTAGGCAAATCGCAACCATCGGCAGAAGATACCAACAGTTGGGGACGGACAAAGCCATAGAGGGACCACTCTGGACCAATCAAAAGCTGTCTGAGCGAGTCGGCATCGGGGAGGTAGCGACGAGTTGCCACAACGCACATGGACAGCACCGCCTTGACCTCTGGTGGCAGCGGCGGAGGCGGAGGAGGTGGCTGTGAGGGTGCCAGCGTCAGGTTGTGTTCCGTGTAACGCATGCCACCACAGTCAACCTCCCAAGTGGCCGTGCCAAGCGGCGGCGAGGAGGAGTCGTCAGAGTTGAAGCGCGCATAAACATCAGACCTTTTCGTCACGACCCAGGCGCTAGTGTCGTATTCGACGTACGACGCACCGAGCGAAGTGTCGCGAAAAAACGGCGAGTCTCGACGATGCGAAGCATTGCGGCTTTCAGCAACGTACTCCAGCTTGTCGAGATCGCTTCGCGAGTCGCAGTAACCGGTGATGACGAATCGCGGGTTTTTAAGTGGCAGCAAGGGAGGAGACGAAGGAGGCAGCTGCGGCGAGCGTAGCGCCATGGTGGAAACAGCGGCCAGCGAGGACAGCGACGGCGAGAGTAGCGCCATTGTGGAAAGGGCGACCAGCGACGGCGACAGCGACGGCGAGAGCACTGCGGCGGCTAGGGCAGCAAAGGCGGCGGAGATGGCAGTGAGCAATCATTGACGATGGCAGAAAAACATTTGGCGATATCTTTGGTGTTTTCTCTTTCTTTTGGGGGGCGCATTCGGACGAGCCTCACTGTTCTTCGCCTTTCTAGGTATGTATCTATCTATGGGACTCTGCGACATGATTGATTGATGGGAAGGCGAAACACAGTCCGACCAACGACTGGGACACCAACGCGGTATGGGTGGACGCAGGACGGGCGATGACGGTCACACAGGAGCGACACACAGAACCACAAGACAAGACACTCAGCCAACCTGGAGCGAACTTCCCTAGACACCCGCGGCCGGACTCCATCCGACACGCGTCGCTGGGCGCTCAGAGCCGCGTCCCCTGCTCGCCACCCCGACGCCCAAGGCGCCCGAGTCGAACGACAGGCGGCACGCGAAGACTGGTTGCAATCCCGCCGACCGCCAGGCCGCGGGATGATGCGTGCGTGGTCTTGTAGTGGGTCTTGGAAGCTCCCCTCTCGGGCTAGGGGCCAGCCCCTCTCCCTTGCCCTCGGAACAGTGTGTCCGAGTCGAGGCGTGTGCTTGCCGGTCGACGGCCGCGCGCGGTTGGCATTGTGACGAAGGGTGCGCGCGGCCGCTGGGGCGGGAGGGTTGAGAGAGAGACCCATGACCATCCCATGACTACATGGGCCACACTCACATGTATATGTCTTTGCATGTAATAGTTTTGTTATACCCTCATGGGGCACAAGAAAGAGGCTCTACGGGGGGGGGGATCTGACTGTGTACGGTCTGTGCTGCTGTTGGGCAGTCAGCGCTGCTGTCAGGCCACTGTGTGCTGTCGGGCTGTCAGGCAGCTGTCAGGCTGTCACGTTAGGGCCTGACAGCGACGGAGCGCCTCGCCTGTCAGGCTCTGCTGTCAGGCTGTCAGATACGTGCTGTCAGACTGTCAGAGAAAGTGCTGTCAGCGCTGTCAGGCTGTCGGGCACTGTCAGGCGCTGTCCGGGGTTTGCTGTCAGGCTGTCAGACCAGGGCTCAGATAAGAGGCGGGAACGCGGCCGCCACCTGCGGCGGTCCATCAGCGCGTTCGAGCTCGAGAACGGCACGCCGCCACCACACAGGGCCTCGAGTCCGTGCAGCGTCCTGCCTCTTGCGATAGAATTTTACGACAATAATGTATATTTGTATCGCGCGCCTGCGGGGGGGGGCGCGGAAAAGAGGAACCTCTGCCATCGACACGGTGCTGCGAGCAGCGCCGGGCGACGACGGCTTAGAAAACGCCGTGCGGCCGGACCAATGCCACCACCACCATCTCCTCCTCCCCCGCCGCCTCCACCACCACCGCCGCCTCCACCATCGACAACAAACGCGGTGGGCAAGCAGTGGGCTGTAGTCCTCCCGGCACCCCGCGCTAACCTCTCTGATGGCAGCGTTGTTGGCCTGGCCGACATCTCACAGATCGACTGGAGTACCACTGTCGCTGTGTCCCGCGCTGGGACACACCCGACGCTGTTTGTGCATGTTTCCGGAGGCCTGGTGGTCTTGAAAACCGGCCAGCCCGGTCTGATCGCCGAGCTGTGTTCAGCGGAGCTGGCTCACGCGCTCGACGTACCAGTCCCTCGCTGCAGGATGATTGTTCGTGGCGACCGGGAGCATTCGTCGATGCTAGACGGAATACAGCGTGCGGTCGAGGAAGCAGACTCCCCGTGCAAGCGCGTGGTCACCAAGATGGCGAGCGAGCCGCAGGTGCTGCTCTCCCAATTCATTTTGGACGACAAGCCCTCCCGGTTACATGTGAGTAGCGTGCGCCAGCTGGGCCGTCTGGCGGTGTACGACTGCGTCATCTGGAACACGGATAGATTCACCTTCCTGACGGCCTCCCTGGTGGCCTTCCGTGCTGATCAGAAGCTGGGCGAGACCTTTCAGCATATCATCAATTCACAGGCAGAAGCCCAGGGCATCAGCGTGCAGCAGGCCCTGAATGCCATCTCCGGCAACATGGAGAACTGGCTTGTGCGAGGTGACGGCGTCGTCTTTGGCATTGATCAGGGCGTGAGGCCGACGACGGGGACGCACGAGCAGCGGTTGCATGCGCTCGTGGAGGATTTGACGCATAAAGGCAAGGAGGCACAGATCGTGCAATGCATCATCAAACAGCTCGGCGGTCATGGTGTTCGTATCCCGGAGAATTCGGCGGAAGTGCTTCATGGTGCCGTGACGGAGATGGTCGAGCGACTCGGTGCCATGCAGCTCGCTGATATTGAGCAGATCAGGGACCGTATGCAGATGCATGTCTCCGCCGAACTCCAGCCTGACTGGAGGGAGAAAGTGGCTGGGTGGTTGGATGTGGACGCGGTCTACGCCCGCATTTGCGTGCTGACCAGCCGTGTATCGGCAACGACGGGCCAGTGAAAGGCTCGAACACGATGAGCAGAGCCGTATCGCGTATTGTGCGTGCGCCGCGCGTGTGTGTGTCTCGTGTGTGCAGTGTGTGTATGTGTGCGTGCGTGTGTGACTGTGTGTGTGTGTGTGCACGTGCGTGCGTGTGTGTGTGTGCAAACATTAGCGTTTTAATGCTTTTCCCCACCTCCGTGAGCTCCCTCTCCAACGGCTTAAATGTGCGGGTTCACGCAATCCTCACACGGATACGCAGGCGGACAGGAAGCCATCAACCGATCAAGCCAATTCGTATCGCGCGTCAAGGAGAGACTCTCCGGTGCCATGCCATGCGCCATGCCATGCTCCATGCGATGCGCCGCCGCCGGGCACGCTCCCCTCAGCGCCACTCCCCAGAACGCAGGGCTGCTCCGCCGCGCGTCAAGACAGGCACAGTCACCACGCAACAACAAATTGGCGTCAAGACAGGCACGCCACGCAAGGCGAGAGCAAATTTGCCACATCTAGCAGCATCGAGGCCGAGTGGCCGAGGAGGACCGAGGAGTGGAAAAACTCGTGGAAGCCAAAGCTCGCGTGCTGCGGCCGCTTGACGGCGTACGCGACCAGGCCAGGCAGGTACAGCCAGAAGATGGTCGCATTCACGCGGCAGGCGGCCGGGCAGAGGCAGAACATGGCGCGCACGAGGTACCCGAGCAGCACGCCGAACTGGACGCCCATCAGCAGCTTGACGGCCGTGTGTCCGGCCTTGCGCGGCACGACCGCCTACCCGAAAAGAAAGAGCGCTGCGCATCCACAGAGAGCAGAGAGCACCGAGAGGGAGGGCTGTCAAGCCGCCGAGCGCGGGACGGGTAGCCCCCACCCCCACCCGCAGCCGCGCCCCCGTGACACTGCGGGCGTTGCGCCGTCGGCAGGGCCTTTTCACCGCACTGTTTGACATATCTCCCCATATCTCCCCAGATCTCAGGGTACCTGCGCGAGCGCAAGCACCGATGCGCTCGCCGCGCCGCTCACGCCGCCGAGCAGCGCCGTCGCACCTGGCCACCCAAAGTTGGCCGACCAGAGCCAGAGCTGCGTCGTCAGCACCGAGGAGATGCCGACATAGTCCCAGCGCAGCCACACCGTCTCGGCAGCGGCGGTGTACGCGTCGCCGCCGCGCTTGTCCCCGTTGTGGTACCCATCCGAGATCCACACGTTGGCGCAAGTGGCCGCCGCCGCCAGCACCCGCAGCGCAAGCCTGCCGGGCGAGGCGGAGGACCCAAGCGCTGCGGCGACCGCGACGTAGGCCGTCGCCAGCACGTACCAGAGCCCGGTGCGGTGCAGCCAGCCCATGGCGCTACCGCGGAAGCGCGGCCGCCGCAGGCCCGTCAGCAAATAGGGTGGCCGCGCGTCGGCCGCGCCGCCGCCGCCGACGGCAGGCACCTCGTCGCCCACAGCGGAGAGCCGCGGGGCCAGCCGCTGCTGAAGCGGGAGGCGCACCGGCGAGGAGAGGCGAGGCGCGGGTGCGAGGGCCGCGCAGGCGGGCAGGCAGAGGAGCAGCAGCGGCACGCTGTGGCCACGCATGTTATGCGCAAGGGGTGTGGAATTCGCGGGAGGCAGGAGGCACTCCCGGCCGCGGCCCGCAGGAGGGTGGGGAGAAGCCGCACCAACGCCAAGGTTGGGCCTTGCGAAGAAGAATTCTGGGGCCGACTCTCACAGCACACTGGCACGACAAGGGCGCAGACTGGCGCGGACTGGCACACACACAGGCTCATCCAGGCTCATCATAAAATCGTAGAAGAAGACGCTGCTCGGAGTAGGTCGGCTCAACGCACGACGCGGCCATGGCAACTGTACTCTCGGCGACTCTGCTCGGGTTGTCTTCTCCGGTCGGCCTCCGCAGATTCTCGCCGCGGATCCGGATGCAGGCCGAGTGGGTGGAGTCCACCGTCTTCTTCGACCCGCCCGTCTCGAGCCGGTTCACGCCGCCGCTCCCGAGCAAGCAGTACCTGCGAGCGAGCGAGGCCGCCGTCGCCAAGCACGCCGCCATCATCTTTCACCAGCTGCGACAGGAGGCCACCGCGCTGAGCGGCTCGCCGCTCACGAGCGGCCTCGGCGAGCGGACAGTGCTGTCGCGCTCGTCGCTGAGCGAGGCGGCGGCGGCCGTCCTCGTCGAGCAGCTGCGGAGCGCCGGGCTCGGGGAGGATGGCGCCGAGTCGGCGGCGCTGTGGCGCGAGGTGTCCTCCGCCCTCGCCGCGCCGTGGCTGCTCCGCTGCGTCGTCTGCGACCTCTACAAGATTCTCGACGTCGACCCCGCGGCGACGGGGCTGCTGCAGCCGCTGCTCTACTTCAAGGGGTTCCACGCGCTCACGCTGCACCGCGTGGCGCACCACCTGTGGGCGCGCGACGACGGCCCCGCCGACCGCTTCGCCGCGCTCCGCCTTCAGTCTGCCGGCGAGAGATGGCCGGGAGATGGCCGAGAGATGGCCGAGAGATGGCCAAGAAATGGGCAGAGCTGTGGACAGAGCTGTGGCTCGCCTCGAGGTAGGCGCCTCCCTCTTTTCCGTCGACATCCACCCGGCCGCCACCATCGGTGCCACTTCCGAGAACCGTCCACCGCCACCGCCACCGCCGCACCCGCGCGCAGCCTCCTCTACGCACCGCCCCAGTCGCCTCTCCCTCCCCCCCCATCCCTCTCGAGATCACACAACTCATCATCTCCCAGGAAACAACATTCCTACTCCTGCTTGTGCAGCTACCTAGGCGCCGCTGCACACGGACTCACTCTGCGAGAAGGAGTGGCGGACGCGGCCGGCCGGTCACTCGGCGCACGACAAGGTGGAGGTGATCACGCACTGCCACGAGCAGCGGGTGTCGGGGCTCGCGCAGGCAGTGCTGATCGGGCTTACCCTCTGCGCGCTCACCGTGCTCGGCTACATCCCGATCGCCGCTCTCGACGGCCTCTTCATCTACATGGGCATCGCCTCATTCGGCGGCAACTCGTTCTACCAGCGGCTCGTCCTCTTCATCACCGACCCGGCGCGGCGCGCCGCACGCGGCCTCGACTTCCTCGACGGCGTGCCCTCCGGCGTGGTAAGGCGGTACACGGCGCTCCAGCTGCTCATCCTCGCGTGCATCTTCGGCGTCACGCTCGTGCCA